GTAGGCCGTGGAAATGTCTTCGGTACTCGGCCTGTGTTTCTTTCAACCAACTGGCGCGTCGCAACTGCCTGGACCCCGAATATGAAATTGACAGTTGAGGGCCTCTTGCAAAAAGCCAGGCCCGCCTTCACTTAGGGCGGGCACCTCTGCCTTCACTTAGGGCGGGTAAGGCTGCAAACAGGGCCTAGTAGGCCTACCGAGGACACTGATCCTCGCATTCCCTCCTCCTTAACTTCATGAGTCCTCTGAGAAGTCTCTTATTCTGCAGGCATCTTCCCTTTTCGTTCTCTTTCATAGCCTGCAATCACTTGAGGCGCTGTTCTCATGAGTTCTTCCCGTGTAAACCAGCGATCTTCCTTGGGATCGAGGTGATGTCTGAAGCTCACCCGGTACTGTATTCTTGGTTTAGGAGGGCGCCCTCTGCCTGATGGTCGTGGAACAGGCATCACTCGATGCTCGACAATCTGGTCGATGTCCACTTCGCCATCCATGGTTGGGGGCAGCATTGATCTCCTGGAAGGAAACTGCTCAGTAGCAGCGAAAGGTGCCAACTTTGAAGCATGGAACACAGGGTAGGTGCGTAGATGGGGTGGGATGCGAATCCCATAGGATGGCCCATCTGGTTGATCTCCTATCACATCTAGGACCTCCCACGGACCGAAGAATTGTGGCATCAATTTTCTAGAGATTCCTAGCTCCTGACCAAGTTCAGATGCTTTTACCCAAACTCTGTCACCTACCTGGAAATTAGAAGGCCGTCTATGCTTATTCTCAGATGTTATCATTGCATCTTGAGCTTTTCTAATGTGCTCTACGGCTTGCTGCAGCATCTGTTCATACTTAACAGCAAACTCTATGCTGCCAGGTGCTGCAGTAGATTCTCTTTCCGGTAGTAAGAAGTCCAAGGCAGTTCTAGGCTTCCAACCAAGATGCAGTTGGTTGGGAGTCATTCCGGTAGCACTGTGCACTGCGTTATTATACAGGCTGGCGACGAGAGGTAACTTCTCGTCCCAATCATCCTGACTTGGCTTGATGTAGTGCCGCAGCAAATGCTGTACCACTCGGTTCATCTGTTATGCCTGTCCATTTGACTCAGGATGATTCCCTGATGTCATCTGGAGTTTGGTTCCCATCTGTTCAGCTGTAGACTGCCACAGTTCGCTGGTAAATCTTACATCCCTGTCGCTTACGATAGACGTAGGTAGACCGAAATCCCTTACCCAGTTATCCATAAACAGTTTGATGACGTGATCTGTCTTTGCTGTCTCCGGCATAGCGATAAGTCTGGCATACTTAGTAAAGCGATCTAAATGACGAATATGTGTCGTTTGCCGGTTTTGCTGGTCACAAGAGTGTCCATAAAATCCATGGAGACACTCTGACCTGGACCTTCAGGGATCGGCAAGGGCTTGATCAGCCCAAGCGGAGCCTGAGTCCTGGGTTTGTCTCTTTGACAAACCTGACAAGTCTCGACATACAGTTTTGCATCCTTCATCATAGAAGGCCACCAAAACTTCTGTACTAAGTTTGCTGATGTCTTCTTATAACCAAAATGACCTACAACATCATGACATTCTCCTAAAAATAAACTACGCAAAGACTCACTATCCAGGACACATAGTCTTTTAAACCTTGCCTTTTCAAGGAACAGCAAGCCATCTACCATGGTAAATTCGTCCAAAGTTTTTTTGTCCTTTGCTTGGAATCTACGAATGATCTCTGACATAATTGTATTTCCCTGATAGGCTTCCACCAGCGATCGAGTAAGATCATTAGATCTGTCGAATTCAGTTACTAGTGCGCCTAGATACTCTGCCCTTCTTGACAGCGCATCTGCCACTTTGTTGAACGGACCTTTGATAGGATCAAGTTGATAGTCATACATATCTATCACTTGAATCCATCTCTTGAGTGCGTCAGACAACACGGGCTGCGTCTTAATCCAACGCAGAGTCTCATGGTCAGACCTCACATAGAAAAATCTCYCTARGAGGTAATGTCGCCAATGAACTAGCGCTCTATATAGGGCGTAGAGCTCTCTTTCATAAGTGGACGCAGCTAGCTTCTTGGAAGGCATCTTCTTACTCATATACTCGATCGGTCTCAACTTTGGCCCCTCCTGTTGCGCAAGGACAGCGCCAAACTCGCATTTATCCAAGTTTACCTTGTACAGGTGTTGTCTTAGGAGACCTAGCACTATTTTCAAGTGCTCAGCGTGCTCCTCTACAGTCCTACTGAAGATGAGAATATCGTCGAGGTGCACGACGATAAACTTGTGCAAGTAGTCATGAAAGATCCTATTCATCGCGTGCCGGAACGTACCAGGCGCATTGCATAGGCCAAAAGGCATCACCACAAACTCGTACAGACCGTACCTGGTCTGAAATGCGGTTTTGTGTTGGTCCTTAGGCCTAACGGCAATTTGATGGTATCCGGACTTCAGATCTATCTTTGTGAAGTACCGACATCCCTGCACTTTATCCAAGAGGTCGTCAATGCGGGGTAGGGGCTCCGCGTTCTTTACGGTGATGGCATTGAGGCCCCTATAGTCAATGCACATCCTTAATGGACCTCCCTTCTTAGGAACAAATAAGACTGGCGCACCGTAAGGGGAGGTACTGGGCCGTATCCATCCCTTCTCTGTGAGCTCTTTAAGTTGGCGGCGAAGCTCATCTAACTCCACAGGAGACATCCTATAGATTCGTCCTCTAGGCACCTTACTACCTGGGACAACCTCTTTTGCATGGACCACCTCCCTTTCCACCACGCCTATGGGCTCCTCAAAAAGGTCTGAATATTGAGCGACGACCTTTACTATCTCTGGGGGTGATTTTACGGCCTCCCCTTTCTCAGAGACAAAAACTAGATACATGCCTTCCTCGCGATTCTATTTATAATAGTTATAGAAAGATGATGCACACATGCACCCGTAGTTTTCTATTAGACTGCTAGCTTTGAACTTTTGCAATCTAACAGATCTACCGTTGGGCAACTTGTGAATCAATACCTTTCTAYCMCAGTCSARCTGTGGTTTCGCGGCCTYGAGGTAGTACATACCTAGGAGCATATCAAAAGGAAGTTCGTCGCTAACCAGGAAGGAGATCTTGTGGATCACTTCCCCTCCTCCATAGGAGAAGGAACAGGCTACGTCCTTGACATAGTMTTTTACTACCATCTTGTGYTTGTTGGCTAGCGTAGAAGCTACAGTTCTGCTAAGCCGCTGCACTTGGTCCCCTAAGCGCAGTCTATCCACACAAGCACGACTGATGAAATTTTGTGTAGAGCCTGTGTCTGCGAAGGCGCCAATCTTGCGGCCACCTACATCTACTTCTACCACGAAATGTTCACCCTTTGGACCTCCACTCATCATCGCCCAAGAGTCCCTGGGGTCGATCCCTGACCACTCAGTCTCTAACTCTTCTACGGCCTCAGACACATCTTTCGAACAGAGCGTCGGTGGGTCTGTATGTGTCTGCGGGGCGATACGTGGGTCACTAGCCTTGGCCAACGCYTGAAGTGGGGAAGGCAACATTACCACTTCAGCGCGAGTAAGAGCGGCTAACACTTCTACTGGCCCGAGGTGTTTCCCTGTGAGCTGCTCGCAGAAGCACTCCCAGGGTTCGAAGGTAAGCCCACCACCGTTGGTGAGGCTACCTTCATTGTGACTTTCTTGCCGCGACAAGTCCTGGACGTGTGGCCAAAGTTGCCACAATTCATGCATGTACCCCTAGCAACGCGGTCACGCCACACCTCGTATTCTAAACCAATCTTCACCCATGCGGGTGTTCCTTGGTCGCCCYGACYCGTGGACCGTACTACCTTCTTCTTCCCGGTCCCCCTAGCCTTTTCTTTGATGGGTGCCACGACTCCACC